AGCGGGCTGATTCGGCGTCTTCCACGTGACTCTCACATAAGTTTTCAATAAACCATTTAACACCTTTCTTTTTACTTTAGAGTGGTATCTTTACATGAACTGTTCTTGGAAATCACATTTTGCTGGTATTTTGACATTTATTTCTGCATAACAAATTACTCCAAGCTTAAAGCAATACAGTAGTGTTTCTTCTACTCTGTACTAGGTAGCTCCCATGTGACTTCATCTGGACTGAGGTCACCCAGGTACCTGACTGCCTGCTCAGGATGGCTCACTCCTCCTCTGATAGCCTTTGGCAAGGATGACTGGGGGCCTAGGCATGGTTAGGCTGCTGGGAAAGATGGGCCTGATTTCTCCACGTGCTCTCAATGCTCTGGCTCTGCTCTTCCTGGTCTCCCTCCTTGGTCTGTGTCATAGGGCAGCTGGATTTCTGACAGAGTGTCTCAGAACTCTGCAAATCCAAAGCTTCAGGACTTTCTGCGTGTTATTTTCTGAAACTGGCAGTGTTCCTTCTGACACATTCCTTTGAGTAAAGAGAATCACATCAGTCAAATTCAATGTGAGAAGGAAAGACGCCAGCTCTGAATACTGGGAAATTTGGTTCATTGAGGGCCAACTTTGGAGACTAGCTACCACAGTTGCTTTTTTTTTTTTCGAATTTAATAATGCAACATTATTAGAAACTTTTATGCTTTCCAAAGAGTAACAGTATATAGCTTTATCCCTTGAAAATCATAGGTAATCTACTTGAATAGTTTTTAAATCAGTGTAACTCTACAGGAGAAATAAAGGCAAAGTAATTTAAAATTAAATAGTATGTATTTTATTGTGGAATCACTCTGATACAATGATACCTAAAGAGTAGTAGTCTGAGGTTTGTACTTTGAGGTTGAGTCACTGGGAATGTGACAATTACCAATTTACATAGGTATAGGTGTGATGTTTCATGATTCAAATATACCAGGCAGCATCCCATCAGTGATATTTTTCACAAGAGCCAAAATTCCTAAAGTTGAAATCCAAACCAAGTCCATTGCTTCCTTGATGTACCTAGTATTACATTCCAGGAAATTCTGGTATACATACTTATATATACTGTTTGTTTGTTTAAGTATAAATTAAAATAAGGTTCTGGGCTCCAGTCATTATAAACAGATGTGTCATCTGTATTAATATTTAGAATATTAGGAAGTTATACATGAGCTCGGGCATTTCTTCCTTGAATGAGATGGCCCTGGCTGCTGTAGGATATCCACCATCCCTTGTTCCCTCTCTTTCCACCAAATGCCAACAGCATCCCACAGAACTTTGACAGCCAAAAATTCCTGCACAGATATGCCAAATGCCCTGCATGACATACATCAGCCATGCTTAGCACAACTGCAGAAGAATGGTAATGCGCGTTTAGTTTCCTGGACATGCTTTCAACCATGTCCTCACTGTTTAGACTGTTTCTTGATTCTTTACTCCTTTTATCTTCACATGATGGCCATAAGCAGGAGCTGTTTCTCCATAGAACCATTCCAACCCCTTATCTTCTGTCCCTTGGGCTCCATGGGCTCCATGTTCCCCATCTCCACAAGCTGTAGAGCCTGCACATTGCCTGTGGGGCTCCCTCCCAAGTAAGCAGGCCCATGCTGTATGTTTTTCTGTCCCTTTGTGCTCCTGTGCCTACTCATTGCTTTTCTTTCTCTCTGTGTGTGTGTATCTGTGTGTGCGTGAATGTGGTGTTTGTCCTGTTTTCTATGAACCTGTGAATTCCACTCTGATCTGAATGAATAATCAGTCTGTTTAGAGTTGATCTGAATCACCAGGGGAAATGGGTTTCTTTTTCTTTTGTCATGATCACCAGTTTTCACGGTGTATACATTTGCTGTTCTCACTGTGAAATCTCTTCCATTAAAGGCAACTGAATCTGCCTTCATGAGTGCAGGACTCTGGAAACAGCTGTACATTTCACTGACTTTTTCTCAGTGGCTTTCTGATTCTAATATTTTTACATTCTTTCTAGTCATTAAGACTTTCTACATCTGTTGTTGTGCCTGGAATTATAAGATACTGTTTATCGTCAGGATACTTATAGTGTCTTTGGAGGAAGAAAGTCGTAGAGGAAATAATATGGATCATATAACTCTGTCTAGTTTGTATGTATGAGACAGTACATGATGATGAAAGGAAGGATGTGACTAATCTAATAAGGATGTGACTATATCTAATAAAGAATGCCTGTGTGAAGATGCATGGAGGGTTGAGGCCAGAAAAGAGTAAGGTGACCCGGGACAACTGTGTGCTTTGGTAAAATGTAGCAGTCTCAGAGCAGAGGGAGTGCCCCAGCATTTGCAGAGTGGAGATGCACTGCAGTGTTTACTGCTTTATTTCAGAATAATTTTAGAGATACAAAAGAATTATAAACATTATACTCACAGTACCTGTGTACCCTTTACCTAGCTTCAAATTTTGCCAGTCATTCAGCTCAGGAATCCAGCTTAGGATCCCACCTTGCATTTAGTTGTCTCTGTAGCTTCTTGCAAGGTGGGTCCGTCCTTTGTCTCTCATGACCTTGACACTCTACTGTCCTAGTTTTCCTGTAGGGATCATTCTGGCCTCCCTTTTCCTTATTTAGAATTCCTTCGTTCCTGAGGGAGAAGCTTGGCTCTCACAATCTGTACTCTCTTACTTTCTCATCCGAGTACATGCATGAGGTAGTTTTTGTAACTGTCTAATCCACACTTGATGTGAAAAAATTTTTCCTAATCAGAGTATAATTCTAAACAATTCCTTTTCTGTCTGCCATACGGAATGTAGTGAAACTGTTCTTTTCCAAAATTACCATGGTTAGTTCTTTTTTTCCTTATCCCCTCCATTGTGGTTGTTTCTTATGTTCAATATGGTTTGTTTATGTGTTCGTGTGTTAGTATTTGTACTTTATTCGGAACTCCATTTCTTCATCGCGGCTGGTTTTAGTTATTTGTTTTGTGGGTAATATACCCCAATTCCGCTAATCAGAACTGCACAGAAAGATAGTTAGCAAAGTGCCACTCCCCCTAATCTCTCCTGCCCCTTTCCCATCCTCTCCTCTTTCCACCTCCTCCGACTCTTCCCCTGAAGGTAACCAGTTTCATCGGTTTCTGGGTTACCCTTTCTGTATTTCTCTTTTGCACACATAGTTTTTATATGTGTGTTTCCTTACGTCTCCCCCTTTCATAAAAACGTCACACACTATACATACTTGTTTGCACGTTGCTTTTTTCTCTTAACAATATGTGGAATTACTCTGTCCATTCATAGAGACCTTCCTCATTTTGATGCCTTCTAATACTGCTTCTGATCACTCTCTCTCTCCCCTGACCTCCGGTTCCAGATACTCCCAGTCAGGTAAGCATCTCTCCTTCTGTACAGCACAGGTGCTTCAAGCACAGCATTTAGTGGTCAGTGCATTAGCCTCCTGTGCTCAGTTCTTTTTCTATTGTTTCCCTAATCTCAGCATACAGTACTCACATTTACCTACCTGATCATGCAATGTCACATGGTCTTTAAGATCTACTCAACACAGCAGTTGTAGTGGGGGAAATAGTAATGGATGATATGTAAACAGGTGGGCATGGCCAGATTTGGATTTCAGTGGCTGGATTTGGCTCACAGGCTGTAGTTTTCCAACCCTTATACTCTAGAGTAGTGCTCCTAAAGTACAAATTTGATCACAAAACTCCAGTCCTTGCTTGCAGATCGCTCCTATCGATCTCTATTATTCACAACAATGGTCTCCAAACTGGAGAATAAGGGCACCTCAGGCACCCCCTTGGGCTTCTATTCATCTTAGTATCTTGGTTAAAAGAATGGTACAATAATCAAGCTTTATTGATATTAATATATAGCTTAAAGTAACTTAGAATTACATTATAATTTCTAAGTAAATGTACATGTTGGTTGAATGTGCAAGAATGATGTACTGAAAATGTTTATCTAAAACACATTAAGACTACTAATTATGGCCAGGGATTCAGCTCAGTGGTTCTGGCGCCTGCCTCGCAAGCACAAGGTCCCAAGTTCGATCCCCGGTACCATAAAAAAGACTATTAATTATGGGGAAAAGTTCTTCTCTTCACTGCCCTCTGTCCTGCTTCTCATTTTCCTTTCATATAGAGGTATTTGTAGTTCTTGAACTTTCCAGGCCTGTGTGTATTTCCTAATGATCACATTCCTACAAAACACACTGTTTCAGGCTGGGGATTTAGCTCAGTGGTTCCAGCACCTGCCTCGCAAGCGCAAGGTCCCAAGTTCAATCCCCGGTACTAACAAACAAACAAACAAAACACTGTTTCTATTTCAGGAGAGAATTACTCCCTCAGTGAAATCTGATAACATGAAGTGAAACAAGCTTTCTCATTTTGTGATCACCCTTTGTAGTAAGTGCACATTCATCAGGGCTTTTTCCTGAAGCTGTACACTTCTATTCATGCCACCCTCCAGAATGTGTGATACTAGAGAGCAGGATCAAGTATTTTATGTGAGTTGGTAATCCAAGAAGTCCAAGAACTCCATGACATGGTTAAAAAAAAAACTCACAACACTTTAAAATTTCATTTTAAAAGTAAACAGAATAGGGCCGGGGATTTAGCTCAGTGGTTTCACTGCCTGCTGTGCAAGCACAAGGACGCAAGTTCGATCCCCGGTACCAAAAAAAAAAAAAAAAAGGAAACAGAATATGGGCCGGGGATTTAGCTCAGTGGTTCTGCCACCTGCCTCGCAAGTGCAAGGTCCTGAGTTCGATCTCCGGTACCAAAAAAAAATAAAGTAAACAAAATAACAATATTTCTGATTTTTACTCTCCCACAAAAGTATATGATGTTCCCATAGTTTTGATGTCGCTCAATTCTAATCACCTGAGATTAAACATATTCTTTCAGATATCAGTTTCATTCAAGGACCTGACTGTGGATTTTATCCAGGAAGAGTGGCAACAACTGAAACCTGCTCAGAGACTCCTATACAACGATGTGATGCTGGAGGACTACAGCAACCTTGTTGCAGTGGGTAAGTGCAGTTTCCCTGCACAGCTCCCAAGAGTATACCTTTCTTCTAGGTTACAAGAACATGTTGCATTTCTAGAGCTTAATTCTCTAGTCTTTTGTATTCGGGGAGAAGGATAATTAAGCCCTTTACAGCAATCGAAGTGTGTGTGTGTGTGTGTGTGTGTGTGTGTGTGTGTGTGTATACTTCCCCCAATCTTCACCAAAATGTTCTGGCTTCACTGAGCTGTGGTTAGGCATCTTTATTGAGCAGCTTCAGAAGTTCTACTTTCTGCATCCTTCAGAGTCCTTGAAGTCCAAAGAGCTTGGTCCAGGTTCTCTGTCATTTCCCATTAACAGAGTTTCATGTTAACAAACCAGATGTGATCTTCAGATTGGAGCAAGGAGGGGAACCATGGATAGTGGATGAGTTCTCACAGGTAAGTAAATGATAACTGAGCAGGTGGAAACCAAAGGAAATAAGAGTGCCAGGGTGGCCAGTGATCACATTGGCATCTTTGTAATGTGTTTCAGGAATCCTTTTCTCAGGACCAGACCTGTGGAAGTGATAGAGGACAGTTACTTGTTATGATAGGAATACCTAAAACATTCTCCCCAGTAAAAACAGAGGATAGATTTTGGGAAGCAGGAAGAACATGTTCAAGTGGGAAGGGGAACAAGGAAAGAGGGAGGGGTAAGGGAAAGAAGGGAAACAGCATTTTAAAAAGAGAATAAAGGGGGGAAATGGGAAAATGGAAGCAAAGCTTTTGTACATGAGGAGGAGAAGAAAGGTTGAAGGGAGGGGAGGGGAATGGGGGGAAAAAGAAGAATTAAGACATATTACGGACAGGTACAAATTCCCTATGATGAATGTGATTATTGTGTACAGCAAATATGTACTAATAAAAATTTTAAAATAAATAAAACACTCTCCCCAAATAAATTTACTCCTTCAGTTGAAACTAATAAATACTTTTGCCACTAAGTTACCTATCCCCAGAATTCAAGTTCCTTTTACCATACCTTTATCTCTGTAGCATTCTGTTAACTACCTTGCATCACCCACCATTGTCGTAGACATGTTTTCTAGTCAAACATTCCTAGGTCTGTCTTTAAATAAATAAATCTTGCTTGATTTGAATGATCTTTCTAGTTCCTTCTTTTCTCTCCATAGCTTAACTGAGAAATAAGTCTGTTTCCCTTTCTGCCCCAACCCCACCTCTAGGAGAACTAGTAGGAGGCAAAGAAGGCCCCTAGCACAGAATCTAAGAAGATCCCCACTTACAAGGTTGCTCAAGCCCCAAGGTGCCCTGCTTGCCTCCCTTCAGTCCTAGCCCTGTCCAGCCCCCCATTTTTCTATTTCCACAAATTCCAGAGTTCATAAGTTACTGTAAAAATTTCAAATTGACCCTTTCCTTGTGTTTTTTGAAAACACTGACCATCTTCCTGTGGTCTATTTTACCTGGCCTCACCACATCACTGTCTTACTCTTAAATTACTTAGCTCACCTATTTCAGTACTCTGTCAGCCATACTGCTAGTATACTTTGTGTACTGTTCCTTATGATTGTTTAATTTTTTCCACTCTGTGTTTAGAATGTATTTGTAAGTGTCAAAGGCTCTTGTATTCTTTGCTAGTTTTCTATTCCTTTTACCTTGTTAAATGCCTGTTAAGGATGGCTTTGCATTTTTCTTTGTTTTCTCCAAAATCAACCAAACAAGATGTACTTGCACTTCCACTTTTGTTAGTCCTGGGAGGCTGGGCCTGATATCTAGTACCCCTCAACAAGGCATTTGTAAGGACTCTCATTTCATAGCAATGGTGTAAAGATTCACAAATTATTAATTACGCTTTTTTCTAGAAGGTGACGATGCCTTAGAGGAGGACAAGGAAATCCAAGACAGATATTTAAGGTGAATTGTATTGTTCAACAACAAAACACTGACTACAGAAAGAGCTAACATATTTGTGAAAACATTTACTCCGGGCATGAATATTGTTCCCTCAAGAAAAATGTCATGCATGTGTGATCGAGGTGGAAACAATTTGAAAACTAATTCAGAAATTATTGTTGTAAAGAAAAGCAAGGACAATAAAAAGATTCCCACTGAGCATAATGGATGTGAGAAGTCACTGCTCCAGACTAAGCAGGGGAAAATTCATTCTGGGATGGAAATATACAAATATGATCAAGTTAGCAAAACCAGGCATCAAGATGAAGATCTTTTTCTGCACTAAAACTTTCAGACTTTGAAGCAAACTCTTCATCCTAATAAAGGCCCTTATTCAAGAGGCTGGTGATCTTTTCCACACAGAAGAAATGAAAGCCAAATGAATGTGAGGAAAGCTGGAAAACCTTTTCTAAAAGGTCCACCCTCATTGTACATCAGAGAATCCATACAGGGGAGAAACCCTATGCTTGTGATGATTGTAGGAAAGCTTTCCATGTAAAGATAAGCCTCACTCAACACCAACGAATTCATACTGGAGAGAGACCCTATGAATGCAGTGAATGTGGGAAAACTCTCATTGACAAATCCGCCCTGATTATACATCAGAAAATTCACAGAGGAGAGAAATCCCGTGAGTGTAATGAATGTGGAAAGACCTTCTTTCAGGAGTCAGCCCTTGCTGAGCATTTCAGGTCCCACACAGGTGAGAAACCTTATGAATGCAAGGAATGTGGGAATGCCTTCAGTAAAAAATCTTACCTCATTGTACATCAGAGAACTCACAGAGGAGAGAAGCCAAACGAATGTAAAGAATGTGGGAAAACCTTCTTCTGTTAGTCAACTCTGACCACACATCAGAAAATTCACATAGGGAAAAGCCCTATGAATGTAGTGAATGTGGGAAAACTTTCTTTTGTCAGTCAGACCTCAGTGTGCATCGGAGAAGTCACACAGGAGAGAAACTACGAATTCAGTCAGTGTGGTAAATTTTTATGTACCAAATCAACCCTCATTGTATATCAGATAGTTCATAGAGGAAAGAAGTCTCACGAGTGTAATGAATGTGGGAAATGTTTCTGCCATAAGTTAACACTCACTATACATCAGAGAACTCACACAGGAGACAACCACAGTGCATTTAATACATGTGATAGAGCATCCATTGTAAGTGAAACCACAGTGAACATAAGAGAATAAATATGACGAAGGATCTTTATGAATGTCATGAACATGGGCATGTGGTTAACAAGCTCACACCACTTTGTACATCATAGAATTCTGTGGGGGAGCTCATGAATGCAATGAGTGTCAGAGGATCTACTGCCAGAAGTCAGCTCTGACTCACTGTCAGAGAGCACACACTGGGGAGAGACCCTACACAGGCCATGAGTATGGGAAAACCTTTTGCCAGAAGTTCTCCTTTACTGAATAACAGAGAATTCACACAGGAGAGAAGCCATATGAATGTACCGAGTATGGGAAATCCTTCTGCCACAAGTCAGCCTTCCATGTGCATCAGAGAATCCATACAGGGGAAAAGCCTTATGGATGTAATGAATGTGGGAAAACCTACCAGAGTCTGTGGACTCTCACTGAGCATCAGAAAATACACACAGGAGAGAAACTCTATGAATGTAGCATATGTCAGAAAACATTTCACCAAGTATCCAACTTCCTCTTACATCAGAAAACTCACAAATAGTAAGTTTCAACAAAGCAGCAAATCAAATAATGTACATAATACTAAAACTGTACATAGAGGAATGGAGTCTTATCAATGTAATGAATGTGGGAAATTTTTCTGCCATAAGTCAACCTTCATTTGAATATCAGAGAGCACTCACTGGCAAGAGATTCAGGTTGCCTAACTAATGCGGTAGAACAGGATTCTACCCATCATTTCTTTATTGGTTTGACTTAACATTATATAGATGGAAAATCTGTGTGTTGGAAAAAAAATTTTTCAAGTCTGATAAGAAATGTAACTCCACTAATCTAAGAAGTTCGGTAAACTCCAAACAGTTCATGGTGAACTATGAAAGTTCACAATGCAAACATCATGCCAGTTGTGCTTCCCTTTTAAATAATGAGACAAACATTGTTTATCTCTTAGATTATTCTCTTCAGTGTTCCTTGATAATGTATGTTACCAGGTGCGAGGATCTAACTCTCACTCCAAATCAATAGGAATTTTTTTCTATGAAAATTCAATAATTTATAAATTTATGGTGTATTATGTTTGTTTTTCGTCTTCTAACTCTGTCTCCATAGTCTTTTGGTAACAGACACCAACCTCTGAAAGGACTACCCAGGGCACTCTGTCTAGCCATGGTGATAATACCTCAGATGAGCATTTGATAAAGCTGAGCTTGTGAAAGTCCTTTCTGAGACTTCTAATGATATATATGCAGAGGATCACAAATAAGTGATCCTGAAGCTTCCAGCCAAGTCAAGAAAACAGCAATGGGAGCAGGAAAACAACGCAGAAGTAAGCAGATTTGAACAGCAAAGAGAATTCAGATGGTGTTGGAATCCAAAAAGTGTTTGGCTCTCTGGTTTTAGTGTTCAATAATATCTGTGCTCTCCTTTTCTGTAAGTGGTTTAATTATGTCATTTAATATTTTCAAAAATCTCCTGGGTACTCAAATCAACATGATCATAGAGGTGTTCTTTAGAATTTTTCTGACAAATTTTGAGGGTAAAAAGGCCTCTGAAATGCTCATTAGAGTTATGTTATATGGATATACGTTGTTAAGCAGGATGCCATTTTTATGAGATTAACATTAAATCCTGACTTTCATGAGTGAGATTTTCCCAAAATTTATTATTGGCTTCTCTGTCACATTACACATCTGCCCCTTGGAAGAGGAAATGAGTGTATGTAATTGGCAAAATGGGAAAAGTAACTGGGGTTTGCTTGGCTCAATAGTCTTTCTACATCAAGGGCTTTTCTGCTCTACTCTACTACTTCTTGTCATGGGCATTGCCTATGATGGAGCTGGCATTTGGTCTAATTCTACCTTTCAACTAATTGGCCCATGTGGTGGTCACCCTAAGTTGCATCCTCCAACTCTATCAGTAATAAACATATCATCCTGATCCCTACCTGCTACTTTTTTTTTGTTTTAATTTTTGCTTGTTCAGGTGGAGAGAAAAAGTGCTACTTTGGTTGGGGGCAGGTGCCTCCGAGAACCCAATATGAACAGAATTTATCTATTCATTTATTCAATAGGATAGGTGTACATGTAAATGTGCATACACATATCCATGCATTATATATTTGAATATATACAAGCATGAATATGTGTTTGTATAGTTCAATCTTGCTCTTTTCCTGTGAACTCTATTCATAGTCACTTCAAGGATTTGGTTGCTGTTGTGAATGGAATTTTAATTATATTTAATTTTAAAACTATTTTTGTGTGTTTTCTGAAAAAAACTATTGATGGAGTTAAATAGCTTAATTTTTATACCAAATATGTCCAAATGTATCCCTTAGTTTTAAGATTCTGCTTGACCTTGCAAAACCTAGTGTTTATTGTAGATGAAACTGGTGAATTGCTTTGTGTTTTTTACATATTTTTGTGTGCTAAAGATTTATATACTAGCTAGCTGTGCAGTTGTGCCTTCCGTTTGTCTACTTGATTTGGGGGCAAACCACAATTCTACCCATCATTTCTTTATTAGTTTGATTTAATATTATATAGATGGAGCTATGTATTGGAAAAAATTTTTCAAGTCTAATGAGAAGTGTAAATCCACAAATCCAAGAAGTTCAGTACTTCAAACAGGACAAAAATCATGAGGCCCATCAAAATCAAATTTCAAGACACAATCAAATCAAAAGCAATCTAATAAAGAAAATCCTGAAGGTATCCAGAGGGGAGGAGACACGACGTGCAATGTCTATTAGTTTCCTAGGGCTGCAATCACACACTGCCACAAGCCATACTCGAGAGCAACAGAAATCTATTGTTTCACGGTTCTGGAGTCTACTCAGGTCAAGATGTTGGAAGGCTGTGTTCTCCTCTGAAGGAGCTGAAGGAAGACCTGTCTCAGGCCTCTCCTGGCTCCTGCAAGTTCCATGCCTCATGGCAGCATATCTCTCAGTGTTCACATGGTGTTCTCATTTTGGGCATGTCTATGTCTAAATTTCCCCTTTTTAGAACAATATATTGGATTAGGGACACACCCCGGCAATGTATCATCTTAACTACATCTGTAACAACCTTATTTCCAAACAAGGTCACATTTCGTGGTGCTGGGGGTTGTTAGGACTTCAACATAAACTTTGGAGAGACACAATTCAACCCATAATAAAGTAATATATTTCATAGCTACTACTGTGCAAAAAATTATCCTGAAATATATAGTTTAATACAGTAGTAAACATTTATTTTTCTCACTTTCAGAGGTGTAGAAACCTGGGAGTAACTTAGCTAGGTAGTTCTAACTCAAGGTCTTTACAAGGTTCCGGTCATTTAAAGACCTCACTGGGTCTGAAGGTTCCACTTGCATGATGGCTGTCTCGCATGGCTATTGGCAGGACACCTCAGATCCTCATCTCGAGGCTTCTCCATATAGCTTTCGTGTTTTATTTTTTCAATACTGGGGATTGAACCTAGGACCTTTGCACTGGGCTACATCTCCATCCCTTTTTATTTATTTATTTAGGGGTTTTTTTGAGACAAGATCTTGCTAAGTCACAAAGTTGCCCAGGCAGTGTTCAAATTTGTGATCACACTGCCTCAGCCTCCCAGAATGCTGGGAGTACTGGCATGCACCACCGTGCCGGACTCCTAGAGCTTCCTGAATATCCACCCAACATGACAGCTGGCATCTCCCCAGATCCAGGAGAGCAAGGCAGAAGCCACAGTCTCCCTTGTAACCTAGCTTTGGAGATCATCTTTCACCATGCTGGCTTGATCTCACAAACCACATTCCGTAAGGTGTAGGAGACTGCACAAGAGCATGGATGCCTGAAGAGGGGGATGACTGAGCCATCTTGGAGGCAAGGTCACCACTGTAACAATGGAGTGGCTACAAGAAAAACTGAAGGGGACACACGGGGAGCAGTGAATTTAACTCTCAAGGAGAGGTACTAAAGTTAAGAGAAATGATATGGTAGCTCAGCAGAGAAGTATAGTCAAAAGACATTTCTTTCTAGAGATAGATATAATTGCATGTTTATGTGCTATAGGAAATTAAGGAGAGGAGGAAGTAGTAGAGTGATGTTCTGGGTAGATAGAAAGAATTGGAGTTTAGTGCATAGGAGGAAAAGGTAGCCTTTTTGAAAGACTAGGCAACTGCCACGACATGCCAATGAAGCCATTCATGAGTAGGTTGATAAGATGAAAGTTCGTGGATTTTTCTTATAATTGTCCCCATCTTGCCAGTGAATTGAAGACTATGGCCATTATTGAGAATGGGAGTTATTTTATATATTTATTGATGGGACTGATGTTTGGTCTCAGTTTTGCCATATTGCCTCATGTTATACCAGTTTGTCTTTCACTGCATAGCATGTGGGGAGTATGCCTTTTGATATTTAGGAAAGTTTGTGTATTCATTTTATTGGTTACCATTATTGCCGTGTCTTTATATAATGCCTGAATGTTCTCTGTTATTTGCAGGGAGTGGCAGTAAACACTGTCTACCAGTTTCTTACTAACGGTCTATAGGGAAATTGGTTGGTAATCTCTTCTCTTCTCTCCCCAGTCACCTGGAATATTGTTTTATAGTAAAAATTATCTCTTAGGGTATTTGTACATTTTATTTCTTTCCTCTTTTCAATTTTTAAAAAGTTAATTTTATGGTACACTCTCATACACATAATGTTTGATAGACATAAAAATCACACCTGGAGTTTAATTTAAAGTGGTAGCTCATTCTCTACTCTAAGATGGACACAGACAGCATCCCATGAATTATTGTATATTCACACTGTTTCTCTGTGGACTTTATATTTGAAGATGATCGGTGTGGCTGGTTAGAAAACCCCTGGCTAACTTTTTCTTTCATTGAGTGTCCTAAAATGGCTCACTCCATCACATGTAGTGTGAGGAGTCATTTTTCAGAAGCCTGATGCAACTGGATCATCTGTTTCCCCCTCTACACACATGAGGTGGACCTCTATGAACTGCGTGAGCCAAGGTCTTTTGCTGTCAGGTTACTTGTTGGTGTCCTAACCAGTGGCCCTCTTCTATGACTAAAGCTCTCCCCTGAGCCCAAGCCTCATTTCCTTCCTGTGTCACTCAGGGTTCAGTCAGAAGCAGAGCAAGTTATGTGGTCTTAGATCAACAGATTTTGTTACAGAGGTCTGACTTTATATAACTGTGTGGAAATTGTCACATGATTGCCCCCATGTCTGATGCTAGAGCTTGAAGTCCGCAAGCCAACCATTCAGGAAAGGAAAGTGGATGTTCAGTGGGAGAGAAGAAAAAGCGAGACAAGCTCACAGAGAAGATGGACTTGTGTCAGTTTTCACCATCTTCAACCCAAATGATGTGAGTGTCCTGCTGTAGGAGACTTTGATACCACTTTTCATGTCTCTAAGCACACACTTAGCCCAGGAGCTGGAAGAATTAATGGAAGATCCCTGGAAAGGGAGAGCAACAGACCCACACCACCAGGAGAGCCAGCAGGTAAGATACAACGTGGTCAGTTACAGACACCTTCTGAGCACACAAGCAAAACCACTGTTTCTCCACCAATACCCTCCAGACCCCATCCAGAAATGTCTTTTGTGGTGGGAAATACACAGGGAAAGGAAGTATGGGGGAAGCTAAGGTAACACATTACAAAGACCACG